CACTGGGCTAGCTAACCAATCAGAGCCCATTGCCTATTTCTGAGGGAGGGGCTTCATAAAAGCAGGAAATTGATAAGCGCGTTTCTCAGAGAAGGGACAGAGCTGTGTGGAATAAAGGTAAATTATGTGAAAAATATGTGTTTTTAAAAAAACGAAGCATTAACATGTTAGACTGCACCCCATAAACACAATCAAGCCTAGAAAAAAACCACTGAACCAACCCTTTAAGAGCCAGAGGACGCGAGCTCACTCGCGCAGTGAGAAGATTTGTGCATGCACTCATCCGAAGCGCGCAAACCCGCATCTCAGAACGCGCGCAATTATTAAGCTCTCTCTTAAGTATTGTGTTTGAATGGACAAACTCACACAAAAATTATGTCAAAATGCCCGTCTTGGTAAGTATCCTATAGCAGACATAGCCGGCTGAACGTATCAGTGCATTCTCTTAAAGTGACAGCAATTTCTTAATATGAATCGAACAGCAACAACAGAGAAATCACTCACTGCTCTTGATTGATTAGCTTTTGTAACTTTAATGAAGATTAATTTTTAATTTATACAGTCAAATATGCAATGCTGTTTTGATTACTTTATTCAATTTCTGTACCTAAAAACTAATGCTAGACCTACCTAAAAAAATCACTGTTTATTTTATTTGTTTCTTTACTCTATTGTATTTATTTGTGCTGTTGCTTGTAGTTAGATAGATTATTCTTATTTTCTTTATTTTTATTTGACAGTATAGTTTTTCCCTAAACATAGCACATACCGAACCGTACCGAAACCGAGATACAAACCGTGAAAAAGTTTAACCGTTCCACCCCTACTTGTAATATAGTGTGTGAGTCATAAACTACTTTTATGAGACTTTCATGGTGCTTTTTTTTTTAACATTTTGGAGTTGAACATCTCATAAAATGCTTCTAAAAGAGCAGAGAACATTTCCTTTTGTGTTCCTTGAAGAATGTAAGTCATACAGGCTTGTTAGGATATGAGGGGGGATTAGTAATGATTGTTTTTTTATTATAAACTATTCCTTTAATATTGAGCCACTGACACACCCAACACAACTTGTGAAATAATGTTACCTGTGGCAACATCTTACCAACAGGGCGTAGGAAGACTGTTGCAATCATTTGGGAAATTCCACATACCGTGCACATAAAAAATGACACTGGAGAGCTGCCTCACTCACAACCACACCCAAATACTCCATATGGATAACAGAATTCACTGCAGAAAGATCCTAACCATAGGCAGGAAGCACAGAATGAACAGCTTGAATGTTTTAAGAGGGGAGAAACCTGCTCTCCTGTGCCTCACTATGCACAGATGGAAGAGCCTAAAAGTCATATTTACTTGTGCCTGATGAAATTTCACAAGTGAAATCCAGTCATTTCAATAGGAATGCATGCAACTGGGAGTTTCATGTGAGGGCAAAAAAGTTCACACAGATTTTACTAGTGTTCAAGTTGGCCACGCATATTCGCCGCATTGACGAAAAGAAAGCTGTTTGGTTTGAAAATGACTTGCTGAAATTTTACAGAATGACATGCATGCTGAACTATCACCTCTTTCTCAAAGCTATGAGTATGATCTCATTCTTTCCATTCCTCCCTCACGACGCACACATTCCACCGGCAATACTTGCTCTCCTCTTCAAAACACCTCACAAACCAAAAGTTCACATTCAGGGCTGATCAAATATATACATATGATGAATGCTAACCATTAACTACAGGAAAAGCTCATGCAGTGGTGACCCCATGGCCTCTCACCTCACAGGAGGAGAAGGTATGTGTGTGCGAGCGCCCGAGGAGACGGGGCTCTTTGAGTAACCCTGCCAACACAGAGCGAGGGCTACCTGCGATCGAATCATCCGTAACAGACAAGCTCTGTAACAAGTAGAACACGGGGACATAAACATATAAACATACACAGACACATAAACAATTACTCACAAACAGTTTTCACAGATACAGTATGGTGGAAGACGTAACTCGGGGGAGAAGAATTGTTAAATAAATTGTTATTTTTGTTTTCTTTGCACTCAAAAAGTATTCTCGTAGCTTCGCAAAACTGAAGTTGAGCCACTGATGTCACATGGACTGTTTTACCGATGTCCTTACTACGTTTCTGGACCTGTGTACATTTCCGTTGTGTTGCTGTCTATGCAGGGTCTGAGAGCTCTCACATTTCATCAAAAATATCTTAATTTGTGTTCCGAAGATGAACAAAGGTCTTACGGGTTTGGAACGACATGAGGATGAGTAATTAATGACAGAATTTTCATTTTGGGGTGAACTAACCCTTTAAGGGCCACTAAATGTGTAATATCAATGCAAACATCTAATCAAGTCCTCAATGTTCAGGCTAAGACTGAGAGTTTTGGTGTACAAGACCATTCAAAATAATGAAAAACTTTTTAAAAATAGTTTACGTGCAAAGTTCATAGAAATGCATTATGTACATTTAATGATATCAATGTTGCAACAAAGTAAAGAGTAAAATAAATATTTTCCTTATACTTTGAATACATGCGAGTGTACACATCTTAATAATTTTCAAAACGTTTTTAAAATAAAGCTTAAAAATGTTTTTACAAATATCATATCTTATATTAATGATTTAATTAATACATAATATGTTTTTATCAAAAACATGTTAAACATTTTTTAACACATTAATTGAAGAAAGAAAAGAAAATAATATAATTGACTCAATTTCTAAATGACCCTAAACACATTTTATATACCGCATTTGTGGCTTTGTTTGTTTTCTCTCTCTCTTGAATGCTTGTTTGAATTAAATGTGGATAAATGGAGCGGTGGCAAGCGGTGATATTACCTTCAGTGCCCGGGAAACTGTACCAGTGGAGAACAATTCCAGGAACCAAAACCAGTAGAAACACAAAACTACTTTGTATTACTTGTAAGAGCTGGCAATGGAGCACTATCACATAATACAACTATCGTGCATCCCTATCATGTGTTAGTGAAACTAATGAATATCTAAACCTGAATTAAATCAAGTTATTAAAGTATTAAAACCATCAAGAACGATCACTCCCTAGTGTGCGTTCTTAGACACAAACTACTTCTAGTTAATAAATTACCACAGTCCATGGCAATGCTCCATTATGAAACAGGATTGGGCTTTATCAATGTGGGCAAAAGGGTTTATTGTGAAAGAATGCATGGAGCATTTCATCGTTAAACAAAGCCACACCAAAAACTAGTCCACTAGGGTTAGTAGCTGAGTTAGTAACTGAGTGTTCTACTGTCCTCACACAAAAGATACATTAGCTGGAGGACCAACTGAATACAGTACCAAATCTAAGGAATGAGAGAGAAGAGATGGCCAGGAGAGGTTGGTCTGCTTTAAAGAAGATTTCATAAAAAAACACATTCTGCATAAGCCAAATGACATACAGTAGGGTCCAATGTGATGATCATGTTATCCAGCACAATTCAAGAATGTTCCAATAGAAGCAAGAACATCTGACCGTTTATACAAAGGGTTTATAGTGACCTAATTGTGTAGAATCTTAAAAATGTGTTATTCATTTTACATCACATAGCTTTCTTTGTTTTTAACAAATTCCTAAAACTTTGTTTATTGCCAGCTTAAAATTTGATTTTGAATCCCAGATATTCAGTATGGTTTAGTTACTGTCTTCTCAAAACCAAAATAGTACAGTACAGCCTTCGTAATACGTCTAATTACAAAACTTTACTTCCTGTTAGAATCAAAGACTGAACATGATGAGATTGCTTAAATATTAACTTTAAATGACATCCAGGAATGCAACCAACTGCAACCTTGCAAAGTGCAAACTGAATTCACTTTTAAATGGCTCAACCCCAATGAATCGCTTAAAAATGAATGCATTAAATTACTGACAGCACAACATGTCAACTAATTTCTTCCTCTTATTCAAGACAGTTATGAAAAAAAATAAATGAAAAACACCTGGACCCTACTCACCTTGTTTGCATGATCCTCTATGTATCCCTCTGAAGGAGAGCGAGGCAGACTGCTACTGGACGCAGAACGGTCTTTTTCTCGCTCTCTCTCTTTTTCCCTCTCTCTGTCCCCAAACCAGAAAAATGGCATACAGGAAGGGATGGAAGAGATGGAGTCAGAGGGGGAAACATTGCCGCTGGACTCATCCAGTAACTCTCCCGATCCCCTGAGTTTGGACAACAAAGAACCCTTGCTAATGAAGCTAATTAAGTAATGGAGATAAACTGATCTATATCAGAGAAGACCAACAGATTTAAAGTGATTTTAAACTAATTAACTTCAGTTAATGTAGTAGGTTAATATTAGGACATTTAATATTCACACCTGCTCCCTACAGATCCTCTGAGTGTGATGCTCTCCCGTTTTTTGCCTTTGCCTCCAGATCTGCGGATACCACTACAGGGCAACACAAAAGAAAGAATGGTTTAAATTTTGGGGCATTATCTACTTGATTGAGGAAAAATAGTCAAGATTAAATTGTATTATACTACTGGGCTGCTGAATGCTTGAATCTGATTGGCTGACGAACATTCTAAGGTGTGCAATTATTTTCAGGGAAACGCACGGATAAGGTAGTTTCCAGGCAGGTCTTGACCGCATTACATGTCTATATCACTTCGCCAAATGATTTCAGTTATTTTAAAGGTCCTTTACAGCTTACAACAGCAAAAGAACCAGAACCCACAATGACACTGACAAGAAAACAACAAGATAAAAATCAAAATGTTAAATTATTTCCGTGTTTTTGCCACAAAATGTTAAATTATGTACGGAAAGCACTACTCTCTTTCTCCCACTCTCTCTCCTTTACAGACACACACACATACGGACACACACTCGCACAGAAATGTGTTGTCAGCGTTGCTCTGATGATTTTAATCAGTAAAATAGTTTAGCAACTTAAAAGCTACATGACATTTCTCACAAGCTTGGTAATAACGGCGCTGTTCTTGAAGAAGATAAACTTACAGTTTTGCTATTAGTAGAGACACTGCTGCCAAACACTGTTGAGACGCGCAGATTCAGGTAATTCACACACACTTAATCTCTCTCTCTCTCTGTAATAACTTCATTAATAATTGCATTACTATCAATGGCTCAAGCCTCCATTACTAGGTCTAAAATTATGTTTTGGAATTAGCAACGGAAGCGTGGAATGAGATGCGTAAAATCCTACACACGAGAGCGTTTTAAGGACAAAAACCTAACGAATGTCTTGAAATACAACATCAGGCAATGTCTTTAGGTGTGGTAACCGTAGTATAAGTGGAATAATTGACTCTGGTCCATTGAATTATCAGAAAATAATGCACACCAGAGGTGTAATGGCCACTCTGCATCATCACCTTCTGTGTGCATTATATTCTAACAATTCAACGGCCCATCTTCAATTATTCCTTACGTAATATATTCTAAATTGTACTGAAAGTTGAGACTTCCAGTTTTATGATTTGTCCCATTCATTTTTTTTTCTACAAGTGGTCCATCTCCTCTCATTGTAATGTCTCTTATTTTGGCACACAAGAGGTAGTTGCTGGCCAGGCCATACCTGAAATCTGGGAATCGTCTTTTGGTCTTTCGCACTGGTGAACCATCACTCTCTTCATCTGTAAAACAAAGGAGCAATTCAAAATCTTGTCAATTTCCTCATAGTCTTTTGACTGATACTGATGAGCCTGAGCAGGAAAACCAGTGGAAGTAGGAGATATAAATAAAAAGTACTTCAAGAAATCAGTTGTACCTCTGCTTGCTCTGCTCTTGCTGCGCTCCTTGCCTTTGCTCCTCCTGTTTCTCAGGTTTAGGAACATACTAGAGGAGGACTGTGAGGAGGATGGGGACTGGGGAGCGGAGGAGTCTTTAGGTGGAGACAGGCTGGCTTGTGTGCTGCTGCTTCCTTGGGGTGTTTGGCCCTGAATGAATACATCATCTCTGCCTTCACTTCTTGGTTCACGTGTATGGTCGTGACCAAACTGTATAGATGGAACAGGTATGGCTAGGCTCTCGAGGTAAGACCGCCTTCTTTCACTGTTTGATCTTTCCTGTTTGTTGTCTTGTATGCGCATAGATTCCTATAAAATAAGATAAAATTAAACTATGATTTCTTCAATTCAAATTGTTAGGCAAAACATACAGGATGGGGGTCAATATATTAAAGAGCAGGTCATATGGGTTTTTGAAAAATATCTCTTTTGCAGATTATAACGTAGCTATCCTTAAATGAAAACAATCTGCAAAGTTGTTAATCAAAAAAGTGCATGATAACTAATGATATTGTCTCTCAAAAGAGAGAGTCGATTCTGAATCGCCTTAACGAGTCGTCATAGTTTCGACTCTTTTGCCTGTTACCGGTATACGTCACTGGGTAACACATCTGCATAATCCCCGCCAGCCCGCCCACAAACACTTCCGCTAGTTAGTTTGTTTACATGATGTTGAGAAGACGCTGTGTTCAAGGATACCACAGAAATACAATTCGAACCTTTTGTTGTGTGCATGTCATTTTACCAAGGACTGCTTCTCTAATCTTGGCTTTTATCTTCTTAATTTGGACTAACAAGCTCTCCGAAGCACAGCCTGTAAGTACGATTGATACGTTATGTGTACATTTTCAATTGAGTGCTCAAAATATCAAGTTTTTGTGCTAATATGTGATGTCTAGTGCAGCTTTAGGTTTCCAGGTCAAGCACGATATTACTGTCTTACTGAAGTAATTCTGATAATTCGCTGTGAACCCACTATTTCCTAAAATGTGTCGATTAATGTAGACTGACGTTGTTCTAATTACTTCGGTTAATAAAGAATGTAGTATAGCACACAGACTTTATAATCATTGTGAAATTGCTGTTTATTTTGCTGCACCGGCAGCTATAGGGTTAATGCGGGAGAGACGAGCAAGTAGGCTGGTGCGCCTGTGATACAGCTGTTCTGCGAGTCGTCATATTTTCGAATCTTTTGTCTGTTACCGGTATACGTCACTGGGTAAGACATTTGCATAATCCCCGCCTGCCCGCGAAACACGAACAGAGTCTGACCTGCCCACAAACACTTCCGCTAGTTAGTGTGTTTACATCATGTTGAGAAGAAGCCGTGTTCAAGGATACCACAGAAATACAATTCGAACCTTTTGTTGTGTGCATGTCATTTGCATGTCATGAGCACTCGGCTAACGTATCCACCATTATTGTTTTAAGTGTTCACAGTTTAGCAACTAAACTTTAGCTGTGGGCATTCACTTGCATAAGTGTTTTGTATTTTACGTCATTATAACAGATTGGTATGGAGTCAATATAATGCCACATATATATGCAAAATAATAAAGTTTTGCAAAAGAAAATAAAGTTTTGCAAAAGAAAATAAAGTTTTGCAAAAGAAAAATTGAGATGCACCTGTATATTTTTTAAAACAAAAGTCTGATGCATCAGCATTTTAAGAAAGTGTGAGACTTTCTGAGTGAGACCAAATAGCAAGAAAGACGCAGAGATTCTTCATGTATGCCTTAGTTTAAACTGACAATGACCTGCCATGAAACACTGTGAGGTATTTAAATGTTTGTGGTTCAACGCACCTGTGCTTGGCTTGGTGCCTGTGAGCCTCTCGCTGACTCTCTGAGTTTATTTCGGGATGGCCGCTTGCGCTGAGATCCCTGTGCCAGTTTGGCTTTGGCTCTGTAGACACTGCAGTCCAGGCGAGCCGTCTGAGGAACATCTCCCCAGTCTGCATCTGAGGACAGACAGACACACACCAACATTTGAAAACCAGAAGGAACTACTTTAACAGATTAGGCTGTTTATGTCTTTTCTGAACAAAATAATGATTAATAAAGGTGTTACAATCTGGCCAAATAAACTAGAGTAAGATATTACAGCAAGTCCTATTTATTTGACAAGCTTTTACAGAATAAATGATTGGCTGAGCTCTTCTCTACCAGAGTGAAGGTCATCTGTAGATAGTCCATTTCTTTCAGAGGAACCAGAGTTTGGACTGCTAGGTTGACTCTCTCCTGCAGGGCTGCAAGACTCTTCTGGCTGGTCTGATCCAGTTCGGCCCTCCAGACAAGCTATCTGAGAAATGCAGAGAGGTATTATGTGCATATAGAGTCATACGACTCTATCCTGTTATCTTTGTTACTATGATGACTAAATGGTATGCATTTAGCAGACGCTTTTATCCAAAGCAACTTACACTGCATTCAAAGTACACTTTTTTTTTTTTCAGATTACAGGTCTTGCTTTCCCTGGGATTTGAACAACCCATAACCTTGGCATTGTTAGCGCCATACAAGGATAAGCACAAGGTAGAAAAGGCTCTATATTTTTCTGCTATGATTTTGCTTGGATAACTAATATATGTTCAATTAATAATATCTGTTTAATAGTTTAATCATTATGTGCAACACCAATCCTAACCATCAGTGACTAAAAGCCACAATGAATGAATGACCAAGACAAATGTTCAGTGTGAAAATTCAGTGTGATAAATCTGCTAATGAGGTGTTCTAAAATCTGTAAATAAAGCTGGCCAACCAATAAGATTCTCTTTTGTTCATAAGACCAGAGATGATGCTGTATTTTGTTAAGCGAAAGTGTGCTTGTCCCAGTACCCGCATTTGCTGTCTTGTCCATGTGTATGCAACAGGAAGTAAGCGCGCAAGACTGTCCCAGGTCTGAGAAATGCCAAAGCTCAGTGCCCTTGACGCGCACTAAATCCACACAACCTCTAATACCGCTTAGAATCGCAAGTGTGGATGAATCCAGAATCAGCTCTCTTGCCTCTGTACTCTTATATTTGGTGTTGTTGGCTAAACAGCAGAGTGATTACAAATATACTGAATACAAAATAATGTTTGAAAACATGTAAATACTTTTTGACTTAATTTCCTCTCTGTGACAAGTGGGCGTCTGAAATGGAAAGTTGCATAGATTTTTGAGTATTGTAGTAAGCGGGGTATTTCTGCTATTCTAAAAGTGACACCTAATGTCAGATAGTGAATTTGCATTTTCATTTAGCTCTTCTGTTGGTTTTTCATGCATTGGTCTGAACAGACAAATCGCATGTGAATATCGGACCAAATTTTTGTGCCGAACACTCTGGAAGTTACAGAACAGCTAACATCACTTACAGAACCTTATGTAAGTGTAGCACATTCATAAATTCAGTGAAGCCACATCACAAAACACTCACAAGATCAGAAAGATATCCATATTTGTAATCTCATTTTGTTCGAAATGAGAAATTACCATGAACAGGATGTAGTTTTACCTTATGCTGCAACTGCCTCACAGTGCTCTTGTATTCTCTCTCCTTTTGCTCCAGTTTTCTCTTCAGCTCCGCCTCTTTTCTTGCACCTTCAGCTTCTCTAAAAGTCAAGAAAAGCCGCACCGTTAACAAAATATGAAAATTCATTTTTCTTGTCTCATGTATTTCTCTTTGGAGCATTAGGATTTCTAATAATTCACCTATCACAAATCAGTACATTTCCAAGAACGCCTGATCAAACTTCCCAGAAAGAGTCTGCTATGACAGACAACACATAACATGCTCAAACACACCTCTGTTGATGATCCTGTAGAAGCGTGATGGTCTTATTGTATTTGAGCTGCAGGGAATCATTTTGACTCTGGGCTTCATTCAAACGCTGGTTGATGGTTTTACAGAGGGCCTGAGCATCAAGCCAGCATTTTTCCAACTTTTCAATGCGCTCCCTGCTCTCTTCCACACTCCTTTCAAGAGCTGCACCTCGAGTCTCCCAAGACTTACGTTCGGCTTCGCTCACTTGCAGCTTTGAAATCGCAAACACAAAGAGTTAAATAACTCTGCAGGCACACAAGTTACTAAACAAGAAATTAGCATTTTTATAAGCATCCAACCTTTTCTCTCAACTGATTGAGTTCTGTTACTGTGACACTGTGTTTTATCTGCAGCTATAAGAGAAAATTCCAGTGAGAAAGAAGCTTTTCACAATGATGAACATAGTACAGAATATGTAAATTCACATTATACCTCTTTGAATTTTTGTTCTAGCTCAGCAGGATCGATATCTTCAGGTAGATCAATGCCTTGGCTGCTCAGTTGTGAAAACACTACTTGTGCCAAGTCATTTGATGCATCCTCCGCCCCCTGCTTCTTTTCGGTCTCTTTCTGTATCAGTCATAATATGGGCCCAACAATGATTAGCGACTCATTTATTGATGACATCAAGCTTATCTTTATATGTTCACATACCTGTTGCACAACACTCTTTTCAGCCAGTGGTTCAATTTCCTGTTGGTCATGGATTCGAGAAATCGTTTTTTCATCCTGTAGCTGATGGTTCTGGGGTTTGTGGTGGTCTTCATCGTTTGGCTCCTGGTTTTCAGGGCTTGTCTCGTGTTGTAGGGTCTCGCTGATCAGACGGGCCACTTCGCTCTCCCCTCCTGGTTTCTCCCGACCAATGAGAAACCTGCATTGGAGGACATAAAATTCCTTCACACAGTTCTAGGACTATGACCGTTGCTGGTATTATACTGACTATGAGATTAGATTTGCCCTGGTAAATCATTACCAGACATTTCCTCCTTAATAGGTGATGCATGTTCATTGTTCATAACTTACAGTAATCATAATACAGTGAAAATCCCTCTAGAGCAAAATGGAGTGAGTTGCCTCGATCAAGGGCATAATGGAGCGAGCTCACTTGTTCCTGGTGGGGCCTGAAGCCACAACCTTAGTAAACTTTAGCTACAACTTCACACAGATCACTTTATGTTTAGCTTGTTGTGTCGATACTCACTTGACCAGACCTTTGGTGTTCTTCAATGTGGTAGCAGCAAAGAGTTGAGTGACGCCAACCAGACTGATTCCATCTACTTCCACAATCTGATCATTTACCCGAATTCTGTTAAGACAAACCACCAATGCTTGTTTTATACAGAATCATCAGCATCTGTTACTCACATTGTTTGCTATCACACAGAGAAGGCTTTATTGATTTCATAAGTCTAAGTCAAAGACAAGTTTTTACCGTCCATCCCGGTGAGCTGCACCTCCCTCGGTGATGGTCTTCACAAATATTCCCAGCTTCTCCAGTCCTTGATCTGCCCCAACTCCCATACCAATTATACTGATTCCCAGGCCATCATTTCCTACATATCAAAACAGGCAGCTCAAATACAGTACTTCTACAGTTAATTGAATTTCAAACCAGGGGAAACACATTTTGTGATAAAAGATTAAAAGAAACCTTTCTGAATGTCTATAGGTAAAGCATCCATCATTTCCACCCTCTTTTCCAGCTCGTACTCAGCAGATGCAGACACAGGGTCCACATCATCATTCCTTCGATCATAATCTTCATTAGAGAAGGTAAAGTACACCTGCAGGAGAGGAAATAGCCTACATTAAATAACACACCTGTGCAAACCCACACAAAGGCCATCACCCTGTATAGCTGAATCTGTGATTTATTGATCTCACAATTAATGTTGATGTAAAATAATGTTCTGATAAGACAAAGCCCACACAGATCATTTATGAAAAAATTAGTCATTCAGATTCCTTCAAATCTTCCTGTCTATGACTGCCCACATTTACATGTTAATACCGACTCGTAATTTGGCAACTTGGCCCATCCTGATGAATAATGACTCAGGCATTCAAGCTTCAAAACACACAAGTTGCCTAGACTTCCGCACTGTATTCCAAGTCTTCTGAAGAGAGACAATTGCTTTGTGTGAAGAACAGACTGAAATTTAAGTTATTACTCACTGATTATTTTTTTCAGTGAGCTGTTGAGCTGAGTCTGAGAATGGATTATTCATTCATTAAGCTGAACTCGAGAAATGGGTCTGACTAATCTGTGCACAAATCATTCAGACCAGTTTTGTGAACCAGCCGATTCATTGAAAAGATCGGAGTCAAGAGTGATTAGTTGACATATCAGACACAGCTATTTCTCTCAACAACATGTCAAGAAGAGAATTGAAAGATATCAGGATTTTCAGGGAATAATGAATTCAATTTTGGGCTTTTCATTTAAGAAAGAACACTTGGAATACAGCACAACAGTCATATAGACTACTTTTATGATATTTTCATGGAGCTTTTGCATCCCTTTTTCAATCTTGAAAGCTCCAGTTCCCAATCTTTGTAATCACAAGAAAAAAAGAGTGACCAATACAATTCTTAATTCCACACATGCTACAAATAATGCACAAAAAAAATCATTTTGCAGTATTAAAAAGTGGTCATGTAGCCTACTTTGGTGAAATTTCACAGGCAAATAAAGTCCGTTGTCAATATGCATCATGAAGCACTTAGAAGTCACTTTCAATCTAAGCAGTTTTATATTGGTTGGTCAAAATGGTTAATTTGTATGTTCAAAGTTCAACAAACTTGAATCCGATGAAAAATTTGTGATGTTAATTGTTTTCTGATGCAGATACCTATTGAGATGACTGCATTTTGCCTGCAAAATTCCACCATAAAAAGGTAACAGTGATCGCTCCCTTTAGAAGCAACTAGCTAAATTACATGTCCACAGCATTTTGTCAGTGGCTGGTTTAGGCTGGCATAGGCAGTTAAAAAGCAGGTCAGTCAGTCGTACGCATTCCTAATACTGGTACCAGACTTGGACATGAGGACAGCAGTAGAATTAAACCGAAGGAAAACAATGCCTCCAAATCAATTAGACATGGCAAAGTAACAGTATTTCCTATCTATTTGTCTTTTAATTTACCATTTTACTTTTGCTTCCTCCATCCATACTTCCCCTTCATCTTTCCTTCTCTACTACAATCCCATTTTTCCTTCCCTTCATTTATTCTCTCTCCGCTTTCTTTTGTCTAGCGACTCTAGTTGTCATGGAGTAAGTGTGCACCTCTGAACAATGTCCTTTTCTTCCCAAACATGCTCAAGCACAGTGTCTCTTTCTATCTCCCCACTCCCTCTCTCACTCCTTTAAGCTGTGGCATTTTAGCAAGAACACAGGACTATTTCTTCCTGGGACTGAGAGAGAGTCTGTCAGTGAACTATGACTTACAATAAGGAAAAAACAACAAATGTCACAGCATTTAGGAGGTCCAGCGTCAAACTTGAATCCCACAGTTGGAATAACATAAAAGCACCATGATCAAGAAATATTAAGATAATGAAATACTAAACTGTTTCAATAAAGAAACATATCCTTTGGCAGCATTTAAAAGGGTTGTTAACAAGTTGGTGTGCAATAAAAATAAGTCAGCAACAAATAATTAAGAAATCCTGGCCTTTAGTAATTTAATGGGATTTAAAATCCTACATTTTTAAATGAAATTAATGGAAACCAACAGTTTTGGTGACCATTGACTTCCACTGTATGGACAAAAAGAAAAAACAGTTCTCAAAATATTTTCTTTTGTGTTCCACATAAGAAAGTAATTAATGCAGGTTTGGAATGACATGAAGGTAAGTAAATGGCAGAATTTTCTTTTTTGGATTTTGAAGACATCATTTTGTCTAGAAGAGAAAAAACTAAGTTATGAGCTAATATTCAAAGCCCATTGTCTCATCAAATTCAAAAGATGTCCAAAACAAACATCTGTTGAAAGGAAATCCTCATTCACAACCTATATGAGACAGGCAACTCACTTCCTGTTGATCCTATATATGGGAAACAGGATGAGTAAGCACAAGAGCTCCACAAATACAGAAACAGGCGCATCCTGATGTGAGGAAACAAAAATGTAGAAACAAAAAATGTAGGAATGCTATTATTATGCTTACAAAGGGAGACCCAAGCTTCCTGATTTAGAGAGAAAATGCATCATGGTGTAAGACAAATGTTAGTTACCATCCGCTCATCCCACTTCTATAAATACACAGCAAACAAACTGACACTGACCTACTCTACACGCTCGAGGAGGACACACCAAGAAGGAAGGGATGTTGGGGAGGGTGACGCATTGAACATTGAGCTATGGTAATCTGAAATGTTACTGATTTACTATGTGTTCAAATCCATGGTGTCTTCAGTCTACCAGGCTTTGAAGAAATACATGACCTGGTTTCCAAACTTAGGAGATCTTTTAAGAGTGCTGAGAGAACAACTGCAAGGTCCACAGGGAATGAAACACCCTTACAAACATACAGCCTCTAGTGACTGGTTTTGGCTTTTGCCACCTACTGTAACACACTTAATATGTCTTTCTTTATTTCCTTTGATCAATTGTTTAGTATATTAGATTTAGACTCTGATTAATATGTAAAGGCATGAGCTTCCACAGCACTGAATTGGTACAGACCGATGATGAGATGAGTTCCACAACACTGAATTGGTACAGATCCGATGATGAGATGATTTACATTTATATCCAATCACACAGACACACACAGTGTGTTTATATATATATATAAACTTTGTGTTCAAAATGTACACAAAAATGTATGTCCAAAAGTAATAATAAAATAAAAAATAAAAATGTAATTCACAGTCATATACAAATACTATTGTTGATATCTGATTTATCTGCTATCAAGCACCTCAAAAAAATTGGGGTAAGAAAACCTGTTGCATGAATGAATGAATGAAGCATTTATATAGTGCATTTAGATACTAATGTATACTCAAAGCACTTTACAATGGGATCTGGGGTATTTCCTCAACCACCACCAGTGTGCAGGATCCACCTGGATGGTGCGACGGCAGCCAATATGGTCACCACATAACAGCTATAGGTGGAGAGAAGAACGTAGAGTGATGGAGCCAATTCAACCACCAAGACTGATAAGGGCCAATGAGTCAACATGGCAAGGACACCAGAGTTACACTCATACTCTTTACAAGAAGTGCCATGAGATTTTTAATGACCACATACTCACAGTGTAGTGTCCCATCGCTAGCACCCTCACACAGACCAGAGGGCAAGCACTCCCTACTGGCCTCACTAACACCTCTTCCAGCAGCAACGTTTTCCCATGTGGTCTCCCATCCAGGTACTGACCAAGCTCAAGTCAACCCAGCTTAGCTTTAGTGAGCAACCAGTCTTCGGCTATAGGGTGATATGGCTTTTGATTTATTTATTTATTACCCCATTGGCTGCTATTTTTCCTCATTTTAAGCATAAACTCACTTAACTTTCATAGAGTTAAAAAAAAAAGAAGACTTATCTTACATTATTTTGGTTTTCAAATAAAACACCTCTTGATTTACGAATGATTTGTACTGGAAAACAAGACAAAAATACTGATGTGGCAGAGATTTTATACCACTGATAAACTTTGGCAAATCCAGTGATTAGGCTAGTTCTTAAAAGCGTTTATTGTATCATGCAATACCTTGGTAAATGGTTTAGAAACCAGCCAATCAGATTGTCAATTTATGTGTAGTGCTTGAGTGCAGTGTGCATCCGATGGTGTCAATGGGCTGTGGGTGGTCTGTGAGTCTGCACTCAATATTACAATCAGTTGTATGCTAACAGATTAAATTGACCCAACAGTCAGTGTCTATAAACAGATTTACTGAGGAAACACGTTATGATGAACATCTTGTTTATCTGTTACATTAAGTTTCAAATTACGAGGCTCAGCTGAGACCAGAGGTAAAGCCCTAAGATATGTAACTAGCCTAATTCAAACATTTCTCTGTGAAAAAAAAAACCTGTCAGAACATGAGACATAGGATATTACATGCCTGAAGTGATGCAAGCTCAGACAGCACCTTTGTTGAGAGCTGTTATCTTAAATGTTCTGGGTAGAAGGTATTTTACACTGTACCTGGAACCCTGACGAAGTCACAATTCATAACAATAAATAAAGTAGTGAAACAAGTCTCAGACAAGTCGGCTATAACATTTATCTCTCCCTAAAAGTAAAGTTTGTTTGTGTTTTGGGGCAAAACAAATACAGGACACAGGTGCCAAATACCTTAAAGCAAGTAGGATCTTGTCATATAAACGTGAATAATAGCTGCAATAGTACAACCATAAACATGCAGCATGAAAGTATGAGCTAATGTGCTGACCGAATTGAGACACGGGCATCTGCTAGAGGTGCAAACACAGATTTGGGTCACTGCCGGCAGGCTAATTCCTTCTAAACCATTTCAGAGGGACCAACAAATACATGCTAAAGCTGAATAAAAAAATAAGTTAAAGTACTAAATATGAATACAGTTTCTTCTAAATATAAAGTAAGATTGGGTGAGACATACCTTGATTGGTGCTGTAGAGAACTTGATCTTTCTCTTTGGAGTAGGATCTTCCTCAACAGAGAGTCCTGGAAGTTCCTCATATTCCTGGAATTCCTCCTTCACTTGACATTCCAAATCGGTCCTGTTGTCCTTGTCATCCACAAAGGCAGCATTCTCAATTCCACAAATTAAAGATCTCTTCCCCATCGATCCCTGATCATCTTGCTGTTGCCTCTCTTTTCCTGTTAAGACATCTTCCATCTCTCGTTCATCATCGTCCTCCTCTAAAGCTTCAACAGCTTCCTCTACTCCCTCATCCTCTTCCTCATCCTCTCCTTCTCTCTGTTCATCCTGCTGTTCCTTATCTTCAACATTGGTAGCTTTCTGCTCACTAACAGTCCCCAGTACTGCCTCCTCTTCAGTTCGGTCTGTCTTTAGTTCTACTTCCTCATTGTCTTTTATCTCCTCCTCCTCATCTTCCTTCTCCATTATGTTCTCCTCAAGAAACTTTCCCTCCCTTCTATGGTCTTCCTCTCTTCCAGTCTGTACAGATTCCTCACACGCCCTCCATCCCTCCTCATGTTCCCTAATACTCTGTTTTGATTCCTTCCCAAGGAATGTTAATTGGAGCTCCTCGCTGTTGGTTAACACCCTCTCAGAATTGTGATTTGGGGATTGGTTCTCCCTTCCAGCCTCTTCAAAAACATCATCCTCAACATGTTCCTCCTCATTGCCCTCGCTTTCAGATGATTCAGTCTTCACTACCACCAGCTCAGCTCTGACCGTGGACAAACCAGGAGCCTTCTCAGTGTTCTTGCCTTCACCTTGCTGCTCTTGAAATGCAGGATCCTCAGCTAAAGATGCATGACTAGTGGTACTCCCAGCAGACAAGTGGTGGAACTTTTCGCTTGTATACAGAAGAGTGGCTTCTGATGAGACTGTATCTTCTGAGGACTTAATATGTTCTTCAACTGTGGAACTAGTATTATGTAATGTCTTCTCCGTACAGACTCCATTCAAAGGGGTACTGTGTGAATCTGAACCATTTAACTTGGGCAAACACATTTCAGCAGGAGAATCAGCCCATAGTGAATAAGAGGTAGGGGAACTACAGCTGTCTGGTGATGAAGGGGGATCCGAATGGTCGCTAGCAGCGGAGGGTGACTGGGAATGACTAATGGGACTATGGGATTCAGTGGAAGGAGCAGCTGACAGCGATTCACTATCACTGTCCAACATAAAACTCTCCAGACGTCTGGATATTGGCCCGGCATTCATTAACATATTCAGCTTATGTGGTGGCTCACTTTCACTTTTTCCTTTTTCCTGGTCCTCGCTTTCTTTTGCCTGTTTCTCTACCTCTTTAGGTTTGTCATTTCTCTCTCCAGTAACTGAAACTTTCCTGTCTTGTCTTTCCACTAGTTGAGGCCAGATAACTTTAGGAGAGCCAGATCTCTCCGTTGGAGACTGCTCTTTAAGGCCACTCTCAAACAGCTTCCTGGTCATTGAGAACTTCTCAGCCAGTGCTGCTTTGTCAATGGAAACATCCTCTGTTTTCCGTGCCTCAAAGGAGGCTGAATCTAGACTGGTAACACTACTCAGGCTGGACCTGTAAGGGGTGGAATCCAGTGGAAATTTGGGTGACGTGGGTTTGCTGATATTGGGACTGTCTTGATTCTGTTTTCCATCCATTTGCAAGAATATATTTTTTATTTTGCTCACTTTGTTGCCTGACGGTCTGCCTTGGGTGTCACTGCCTCCATTGGAGAAGGGTGAAGTCGAGCTGATTGATGCGCTCCCATCAAATGAGCATTTGATGGAATGGAAGTCTGATTTATAGGCATTCCTGTGAGGAGATGCACTTCTCAGCGCCCGTTCACTTTTGTTTTCACTTTTAATCATGATCACAGATTAAAAGAACAGATTTGAAGGTCTCAGTAAGTAAAATAGATAAAACTAGGACTAAAAAAGCAGCGTATATCCAGGTGCATGGTACGTCCTCATTCACACTGGCTGAGATTGTAGATACAGACGGTGCCGAGTGACTAATGGAGTGCCAACCGCGCTTACCTACAGCAAAGAGAAATTAACACAACTGTCTGTAATTCACAGCAACTATTTATCCCTCAACACTCTTTTGCACTGTAAATGCACACACACATTTGTTAAATTGAACTGTAAAAATGGCAGAAACTGAATAATATAACATTCGTAATAATCTAATAAAATATTTTGTTATTTTAAAATGTACTGATAGCACAGATGGACAATGGAAGGCCTCTCCCGCAATTTTGCTCTTTAATAATATGACAGAGGTCACTGTTAACCACACAAACACCACCAGGGTAAACATGACACCACACTAAAATTAACATTAGATAAATAACATGAAATATAACATAAACATGCGTAATATAACACAATAAGAAACATATAAGAAGTAATAAAAAATAAGTTTTTAAATATAATCCAAACAAATATAGGTTAATAGTTCATGCAAGGAATTAAATTCCCTTTTCCTCATAAATGATCAAGACGATTCATACTTTTAACTGAAAGCATGACTTTAAAAATATTTTACAGAAAAGTGTAAATATTCGTCCTTAAATTGTTCATACTGCTTACTTCCATACTGTTTACGTTATAAACACATTAAAAGTAAGTACTCGTTATAGAAGTGCATCTTTTAAAGCAGTGGTATTTGCCTTACCGTTAACCAATTGACAGGTCTTTATTGTAGCATCTTTACAGTCCTAAAATTCCTTTTTAAATTTAATTTTTTTTACAGGTAGCAGGTGTATGACCATACATACATCGTATGACCACTGACTGCATTAACCGACTTCAATCCTAATGAAGCCTGACTAGTTGAAGTTTGTGTAAGGAAGTTTATCTTTCCGTTTTCGAAAACAACACGACCGGATAAACGAGTTTAAACCTACCTGAACTTCATTCATTGCGACTAAGGGAAGATCTGAGAAACCATGACCAAACAATCACAGACTTGTTAGACTATTCGTCGTCATTCCTTTCTCCGAAGTCTACATGTCTTTCTCCTTGAGTGAATGTAACCAGCCCAACAAACCTTAACCCCACACACGCGCTCCTCCTTCTGCGTCATACCCGCTGCTTCTTTCCAGTTCTCACAAGTAAGGCAAACGCGCGCACGGAGGGGCAGAGAAAAAAATACTTGGACAACCGTGGGAAAGTCAGCAATCTCGTCCATAAAGTAACAGCTAAATCCAGAGAAGGACTAGGGGCTAATGTAATCTATTATAGACATTACGTATTTGAATAAAGACAAAAATACTTTTCCCAAATTATGTGATTCGAATGTATGAAAGACGCTGACTGTGATATTATCCCCAAAGCTTTCTTGAGTGAAGAATAAAAAAAAAAAACACATTTTAATAATTTGAAGGTAGAGTCTAAACACACATTTTCTCTTTGTTGGATCTGAAATATTCACTAACTTAAAAAAAAAATAAAATAAAAATAAATTTGGGATCTCAAAACCGATCATCCATGCAATGAAACATGTTTCCAGCATTTTGGGCCACATAGATGCCATATCTGAGTTTAATCTCCCTGGCAATTACAAGTAGGTCACCATCTTAATGCTTCTGAGATGAGTCGAGTGGAGCATAGCACAAAGGAAAAGAAAAGCAGCTGAAAGCAAAGGAGTGGAAGATTGAAAACAGCAATGCATGCAGATAAATGTCATTAACAAAACAAATCTGAACATAATGCAAGAGAAAGAAGAGAGCAAGGCACAAACACTGTTCACTACTGACACTGTAAACTGCCAATATCATAAAGATTTATGATAAACCATTTTGCTGTAGACATTTTGCCTCCTCCTGTTTGTCTTGGTGTGGACTGTGTGACCATATGAAGCCTCTAACAGATGGCATTTTGTAGCTACATATTGAAAGTAGATTATCTCTCCTGAGCTGTTCAGAGTAACAATCAGCATAGCTGAAGCATGCAGTTCCATTTAAAACTGATTGGCTGATGCATAATAAAAAACATTCCAGCATGGGTGTACTTGTGTTTATTGCTAAGCAATATAAATCGGAATTAAATGCTCTCTGAGATTGTGCTGCAGGTCTGAATAGTTTACACTGTTATGCCATGTCCCTCTGAAACAGCAACAACCCGCTGATCTGAGAAATTGACCGTTTTATTTTATTAGATGTGTCACAAGGTTCATTCTTAGAGATCTCTTTTGCTTTCCTAACCACTTATAATCAGTATCAATGAGAAAATTGTCTTACACTAACCCCACTATACTTCAGTTATGTGAAAAAAAAAAAAAGGGCAGAAGAGTTTTGGCAGGCATAAAAATCAGGAACACTTACCATATCTTTGATATTCCTTTCCAATGGGAAAAAAAAATGCTTTACATGTAAATCCAGAGTTGATGAATGAAACAGGTGTCTGTAGCCTGTGCTACTCAGCTGCTAGTCCTGTTTCACTATGTCATGACCTGTGTTTTGTTTCTGTTTGTGGAAAGTTGTGATATGACGCATCATTGTCGAAGTCCTTTTTCCTCGGCCCGGGTTTGTTACATGGCCTGAATTTGATGCTGTTTTCCCCAGGTGGCCTCAGGACCTAGTTTTATAAAAATATCACCCAATCATAGAGGCAGCAAGGATGAGAGAATGAGAGAGAGAGAGAGAAAATTACCTAGAAGTGGAATGCAATACAGTTCACGCATTTGTATAGAAATGATTAACTGTTGCATGTGTGTTGATGATAAAAGAATCTTGTTTGAAGCAATTGACAGATTATGAAAAAAAAGTCATACACATATAAAGTATAAAGCCAGAGTGATTCAGATTAATTCAGGAAGATAATGAAAATGGAAATAAGATTTAAAAAGACAGACACTTAAGCACACATTAAAATATAAATTTGTTCTTTTACATTTTTCAACAGTGAATTGTTGCTTATTGTACTTGCGAGCATATGTCAATAGCTGTAAGAGTTTCTCTGACCTCATTATGGATATAAATAAACCCTGGTCTTGGACTGAAGTTTCAGCAGTATAAACTATCCCAGTCGAACACTAGGCTTTATCTCTGTATAGAAAACCAGCCCACACAATGAAATCTCAAAATATTTATTGAGAAAATTATTTGCAATAGATATGCTATGGGGGTGTTTGTTAATGAATACATTGAGATATCACTTAAAATTAACCATGGAATCTCTCATTTCCATACTCTCAGCTCCATGGATCGAATATATAGGACTTTAGCATACAGTGATCTGAGGGGTGATGGCACTACACAGACACAGATGGTGATCTATTTATAACTCGTAATTTAGAACTTAAAGTTTACCACGTGTTTTGGCCTGCTACACTTTGTTCATAATTAATCACACGCATAACACTGAAAACAATAAAGACTCCTACTTAAACCTAAATGTAGTCTTTCATTTATGAAATACTTACTTGTAGAATGATATCTTGATAAAGTTTTGGAAAACCAAGACAAAATATCAGAAATGAGACCAGGAATTTATTTTATTTGTTGCTCAGCCAAAACTTAAATGAGATTTTAGTGTGAGCTAAACATGGGGAAAATGTGTATATTTTATTCATACAACTGAGATACAGTTTTAGAATAGTAACATATTGTATGTGCTTCCAAAGTGACTTAATTGTGTTGTAAAAGCTCTTTGACTCGGAAAAACATGGGAAATCTCCATTTATATATGTAAAGTTCACCTGAGCTTGCTTTTGACCCCTGTCAATTTTAAGGCCCTAGTCAGAGGCATGTTCACAGATGAAGGCTTGATGAAACAGTTTTTTCATCTCAGGTTGACATACATGGCTCTTGGAAAGTTACTGGCAGGTACTGTGGGATTCCATTTGTGAATTATATTATTTACTGGTTCAAGTCACCTCATGTAATAACAACTGGGAAGATGATTAAACAGGCTGTAATAATGATAACCGCACCAACAGCCATCACTCAATGAGTGTACTTATTTACATAGTTACCACAGGCTTTGGCTTATGGTTGTCTTTATTGCCATATAATTCTTGTATAGCCTCAGTATAGCTGCAGGCATGGGCAACTAAAGGCCCTTTATGGGCTCAGGCCCTTATACAGTATGAATACTGTTTTACAGCTCAGAAGAATGTGTTTTGTTTTTAGGTTGTGAGTTCAAATCTTCCATGAATTATTTTTTTTCAACTTTATTTTGTGATTTCAGTGATTAAAGGAAAGACATGGTCCTGTTGTCAGTTTAAATGTTCCAATATATAAAGCATTGATCAAGAGGGTTTGATAAAGAGAATATTTCCACATAGTGTAACGTTTTTAGGAGATAAGAAAATTCTTACAAAGAAAAAAAAACTTATTTAAAAAAACCAATATAAAACTAAAAGTAAACATTTTGGACAGATGTAACATTAATTTTGCCATAAGGCACCTGTAATGTCAGCCATCTTCAGAGAAAGATTATGAACATTCATACAAGTAACAGAATTCAGGATCATTATATATTGGGTCTCAAGATTCTGCCAGTATGTGGATATATGGGGTTTTAACATTAAAATGAAGTTATTTAAGCTATTATATCAAATATTGTGATATTTACCATAATTATATCTCCTAATTAAATAAGTAAAATTTTGAATTTTTTATTAGTGCCAAAAAGTGGTGGAAATGACATACAAATGGGAACATTTGCAATTTGTGAAAATAAATCATTCTCATACAATAAATATTGAAATAGTTTATGATTATTATATTTTATGATGTCTATTCTCATTGTCTATAATATTTCATATTTATGATTGATTTTCATATTTAAAGATTGAAAGTCTGGAGATGGGACAAAATTAAACAATAAATTCTATACTTATATGGATAGTTCAGCCAAAAATGAAAATTCTGTCCTTATTTACTCCCTCTGAAGTTGTTCCAAACCTGTGTCGATGGCTACAATCAACTGTTTTGTTACCAACATTTTCATACTCAACAGAAGAAAGAAGCTCATGCAGGTTTGGAACAACTTGAGGGTGAGTAAATGATAACAGGATTTTAATTTCTGTCACTTTAAAAGGCATTTGAAATATAATAAAAAATATATGATGGAGACCAAACGTTTCTACAACCGTTTTAATATGACGTTCATGTAATAAAAAACTGAAGAAACACCGCATAAAAAAGTATCACATCTGTGACCCTGGACCACAAAACCAGTCATAAGGGTCAATTTTTTTAAATTGAGATTTATACATCATCTGAAAGCTGAATAAATAAGCTTTCCGTTGATGTATGGTTTGTTAGGATATAGGACAATATTTGGCAGAGATATTTGAAAATCTGGAATCTGAGGGTGCAAAAAAATAAATAAATACATTTTGAGAAAATCGCCTTTAAAGTTGTCCAAATGAAGTCCTTAGCAATGCATATTACTAATGATAATACATGTTTGATATATTTACGGTAGGACATTTACAAAATATCTTCATGGAACTTTACTTAATATCCTAATGGTTTTTGGCATAAAAGAAAAATCGATAATTTTGACCCATCCAATGTATTTTTGGTGTACAATGTACAAATATACCCGTGCTACTTATGACTGCTTTTGTGGTCCAGGGTCACATATGGTACGATACGGTATGCATGCGATATGGTTATGCACATTTCTTATTCGACAGCTTCCTCTAGTGGAACGGTTAGAAACATCCTTCGACACGACGACATCAGCAGCACCTAGGCAGCAGTATCTGATACAACAGAGTAGCGTCGCGACTCTCGCTCCTGCTGCCCTGGACTACAGGCGCCTCTCTCCAAGGTTGGACACCTGAAAAACACACCCTCTCTGCGTGTTCTGTGTACACTATCGCTTTTTAAGGACTTGCCGGTAGGGCTAAGCGGTCGGATGGTTTATTGGGTATTGCGAATGCATGATGTGGTGGGGTATTTGAGTTTTATTCCCAGTAAGGACATAATACAGAACATGGCGCTGATGAAACTGATATGGGCTGTTGTGGAAACAACATTTAGATATGTTATTTTATTATCCAGTGCCATCTTTCATGCATTCAGTCATTTCAGTCATGCATCAGCCCACACACGCTTTTCATGATGTGGCAACTGTTCACAATGTTCATGCATGACATAATTACATAACCATGTCATGTTTGTTCAGTATGAGGTAAATATCGGAATGATTGTGGATTATTATTGAAATTCATCATATAAGAAAAAAATACTTGAATATTTCTGAAATAAAATATGTTTTTATTTAGGATGTATGTCAAGTTTTGCTGCTTTATTGTTACCCAGACAACGCTGGGAAAAAAAAACATAGATAAGCGTTCAAGGATACTGTGACATTAGCAGATTTATCGCCCGAATTAAACAAATTTAGACTAAAAGTAGCCTATGGATTATTTAAAATATTCATTAATTAAAATGCGGGATTTTGTCATTTATATTTTGTAAATTATTTTAGAGGTCATTGCTGTACTAAAAAATATGACTTTTCTAAACTCTCTACACTAGATTCCTTTCAATGGCAAATGTATATAACTATTATTATTTTGAACTACATCCATACAGAGATTTATTATCTACTGTAGTGATGAGGTATCTCATGTGAGTACATGTATGTTTACTTTGATCATGTCAATGAAACTGCTAGTTGGTGTATGGCCATACTAATAACAAAAGTATTATTTTATAAAAGTATATTGACGTGTTGTAAACAAACTGAATTAAGAAGAACTGAAAATTATGAACTACATTGAGCTATTATATGGTTGTCGCTGTACATCTGAGCGCAATTAGACTATAAATAACTTATTTGTATCATTAATTATTTAGTCTCCTTTTTTCGTGTGGTAGGCTGACTGTAACCCAGTGAGAGCCCAGTGATGGGTAAGGAGAAGCTCCATATCAACATCGTGGTCATTGGCCATGTGGACTCAGGGAAGTCCACCACCACAGACCACCTCATTTACAAGTGTGGCGGCATCGACAAGAGGACCATTGAAAAGTTTGAGAAGGAAGCTGCAGAGGTATAGCAGTCCAAATATGCAAGACCAAAGAGATTTAGCTACAATTTGTTGCAGTGTTATTATTAATGCATAAAATTATTCAAAGAGGCCCACTGTTTGAAAGATGACCTACTTAAGCAATATCAAACAAGCACGAGTGCTGCGCTATGCAATATCAGCACAAATCACAGATTGTGTGTCGTTTTTCTTTATAAGTGATTCTATAAAGTAAGTTAACAACTTATTTAGAACTCATTTTCTGAGAATGTACTCACCTCAGGCCATTCTCATTCTGATGGTACCCATTCACTGCAGAGGATCCATGGGTGAGCAAGTGATGTAATGCTAAATTTCTGAAGAAACAAACTCACCTATATATTAGATGGCCTGAGGGTGAGTATATTTTTAATTTTGGATAAACTATTCCTTTAGAGGATAGTTCACCCAAAGATTTATATTCTGTCATCATTTAATCACCCCCTGGATAACTTTATTTCTTCTGTGGAACAAAAAAAAAAAAAATTTTTTTAAGAACATTTAAACTGTTTCAAAACAACATTGGACCCAATTGAGAAATAGCTTCTTTCTTAATAAATTTTGGCTGGTTAGTGTTATATTTCTATACATATTATATATTTGATATATACTACCAGTCAGAAGTTTGGGATCAGTAAGACTTGTAATGTTTTATAAAGAAGTCTCTTATTCTCATCAAGGCTGCATTTATTTGATCAAAAATGCAAAAAAACCCAAAAAACTAAACAAAAAAAAAAAAACAGTAATCTTGTTAAAAAATGTTATTACAATATAAAATAATGGTTTCTATTTTAATATCCTTTAAAATATAATTTATTTCTATGATGCAAAGCTGAATTTCCATCAGCCATTACTCCAGTCTAAAGTGTCACATGATCCTTCAGAAATCATTCTAATATGCTGATTTATTATTAGAATGATCAAAAAGAAAGAATAAAAATGTACTGACCCCAAACTTTTGAACTGTAGTGTATATTGTTAGAAAAGGTTTCTATTTTAAATAAATGCTCCTCTTTTTAACTTTTTATTCATCAAAGAATCCTTAAAAAAAGAATCACAGATTCCAAAAAAATATTAAGCAGCACAACAGTTTCCAGCACTGATAATAAATCAGCATATTAGAATGATTTCTTATTTTACATCACAATAATATTTCACAGGCAATGAATATTTATTTTTGATCAAATAAATGCAGCCTTGATGAGCATAAGAAACTCCGGTAAAAATCATTAAAAATCGTTCTGATCCCAAAGTTTTGACCGGTAGTAGTGTATATGTTGTGTATGTATTTTTTCTTCACCTAGTAGTATCACACTTTTAATAGAACTATAACTGTGCTGTAACACTAAATATTAATATTGATGGAACGCAAATTGGTCAATCAAATTGGAGGACTGAAAATAATTGTTGCATAATGCAGTATCTTATGTGACATAATCCATTTGTTTAAGAAATTAAGTTGCAGATTTTCTCTAAACAGATATATTTTCTTTACTTTTCATAGATGGGAAAAGGCTCTTTTAAGTACACTTGGGTCCTTGACAAGTTAAAAGCTGAGAGAGAGCGAGGCATCACCATCGATATCTCTCTGTGTAAGTTTGAGACCAGCAAATACTATGTCACCATCATTGATGCTCCAGGACACAGAGACTTTATCAAGAACATGATCACTGGCACTTCACAGGTTTGTATGTAATAACATAACAAGGCCAATCAGAAAGTTGCTCTTTATTCATTGAAGTATTTTCATAATCTTAAACATTTCATTTCTTTTGATACAGGCAGACTGTGCTGTGTTGATTGTGGCGGCTGGCGTTGGAGAATTTGAGGCTGGTATCTCAAAGAATTGCCAAACACGAGAGCATGCTTTGCTGGCATACACCCTGGGCGTCAAACAACTGATTGTGGGTGTCAACAAGATGGACTCTACCGAACCTAATTACAGCCAGAAGCGCTATGAGGAGATTGTGAAGGAAGTCAGCACTTATATCAAGAAAATCGGCTACAACCCTGATACAGTGGCATTTGTTCCAATCTCTGGATGGAATGGAGATAACATGCTGCAGGCCAGCCCAAACGTTAGTGTCATATTAACTACAGTTTTATATATTTCAGATTATTAATAGACTCAATAATTCTAGATATTTAAAGACCATAATTTAGCTTTTTACAAACCAAACTCTTATTAATTAGATTTATGTTATTTGTAGAGATTAATTTTTCCTTTACTGTTTGCTTTGCATTCAGTACTGTATATATATAAATGTAATTAATGTAATTTATTCTAGTGATACAAAGCTAACTTTTCAGCAGCCACTACTGCAGTCTTTAATTTCACGTGATCCTTCAGAAAACATTCTAATATGCTGATTTGCTGCTCAAGAAACTTTTCTTATTATTATCACTGTTGAAATCAGTTGTGCGGTTTCATATTTTAATGGAAACTTTGATACTTTTTTTCAGGATTTTCTTTATTACAAATTCCTTTACTGTCACATTAATTTCTCTCGAAAATATTTTTTTCTCCTTTGTAATTCCTAAGAGGTTCTAAACACCCCAAACCGTCCAAACTGTTACATGTATTGGCTATAATAATATGCTTTCTCTGTAGATGACCTGGTTCAAAGGCTGGAAGATCACTCGTAAGGATGGAAGTGTCTCTGGGACGACTCTGTTGGAGGCTCTGGATGCCATTCAGCCTCCAACCCGCCCCACTGACAAACCCCTTCGCCTCCCACTGCAGGACGTCTACAAGATAGGAGGTATGAGGACACCCAAACAGAAAGGGTCTCAATAAGAAACCCACTTGTTTAAAATGAACTTCAAGATTATGTGTACAGTATAACTAATAATTTTCTTGTAAAGGTGTGTGACCTACAAATGACTTACAGGTGTCTATGGTTTTTTTAAGAGATAAAATAACTGAGATTGCAAAGACAATACTGATATTTAGTAAATTATATATTTAGTAAAATGTCTTTTTTTTTTTTTTTACCTCTGTGCTCTTTCTGTTACTATTTAGGAATTGGTACTGTGCCTGTGGGACGGGTTGAAACAGGCATTCTGAAACCTGGCCTAGTTGTGACATTTGCCCCCGTGAATGTGACCACTGAGGTGAAATCTGTGGAGATGCATCATGAGGCTCTATCTGAAGCTCTTCCAGGTGATAATGTGGGATTTAATGTGAAGAATGTCTCAGTCAAAGATATCCGACGTGGGAATGTTGCAGGTGACAGCAAGAACGATCCCCCACAGGAGGCAGCAAGTTTCACCGCACAGGTAAAGGTCTAAATTTGGTGTTTTATAGTGTTGTAAAGCCTTCTGACACAATTCATGATCTAATATTTATATTATCTGAATATTCCTGTTGTTTCACTGAAAAAAAAATGGTAATCTAAAAATGGTAACATCTAAATTAACTGGTTTTATACTCACAATCTATATAGTCAAAATTATGTAACATCACTGAATCAAAATAAGTACATTATTTTATAACGATAAAACTAATTTCTATGGGTTAAATCAGGAAGAAATAACTCTTTAGGAAAATGATTGCAGGTTATTACTTTTTACAAACAAGATATCCTTTTAGATTTTACTGTGTTTGACATTACAAACTATTCACTGATCCGCTCTCTGCTCTGGTCAGGTGATCATTCTAAACCATCCAGGTCAGATCAGTGCTGGTTATGCCCCCGTGTTGGACTGCCACACTGCTCACATTGCCTGTAAGTTTGCCGAGTTAAAGGAGAAGATTGACCGTCGCTCTGGGAAGAAGCTGGAAGACAATCCCAAGTCTCTGAAGTCTGGGGATGCTGCTATTGTAGATATGATACCAGGCAAACCCATGTGTGTGGAGAGTTTCTCTGAGTATCCTCCTCTTGGTAAGGGTCATATCTTAATTTGGATTTAAAGTTATGGATTCCTTTAGTATATTTAATATAAAATGCTTGACTTTATTACCAAATTCACTCCTACTGTAAACATGCCTTTTTTTTCAAGTGCTTTTTACAAGAATTTTTCACCATGTTTCAGTGCAATGAACTTTCTGTGGTGGGCATAATATAATTAATAATATTTGCTTAACGGGATAGTTCACCCAAAAATGACAATTCTGTCATTAATTACTCACCCTAATGTTGTTCCAAACCCGTACGACCTTCGCTCATCTTCGGAACACAAATTAAGATGACCCTGCATTGACAGCAACGCAACTGAAATGTTTTATGGCCTAGATATGTAGTAAGGACATCGGTAAAATAGTCAATGTGACATCAGTGGTCCAACCGTAATGTTATGAAGCTACAAGAATACTTATCATGTGAAAAGAAAACAAAAATAGCTACTTTATTCAATGATTTCTTCTCTTCCGGGTCATTCCCTGGTTGGTATATATACGAGACCACCGCGGTGTTCTTTGAGCGGACAATCACATGATGACCTCTGAGGTCTGGGAGGAAGTGTTTCAGAGCCCGAAACACTGCCAGCATCTCCAGGTAATTTATGTGCCAAGAGAGATGATGGCCTTCCCACAGACCCTGGGCTGAGAGACCACTCATGATCGCTCCCCAACCCGTGAGGGATGCGTCCGTGGTAAATGTTATACGACGACACAGAGCACCTAACACAGGTCCCTGAAACAGGAACCAAAGCTTCTTCCACATGACGAAGGGTTGCGAAATGGGTTGCCCCTCGGGGAAAACCCCTTGGTCCTGAGCCACCACTGCAGGGGTCTCGTGTACTGCAGGCCAAAAGGTATCATGTTGGAGGCGGCAGCGAGGACCGAATCGATACGATATCAATATCGATACTGACGTGCCTTTGCGTCACAATCTGTTTCAACATCAGCATCTTGAATCTGAACATCTTGACAGAGCGGTTGAGTTGATCTATGATAGGACGCAACCGGCCATCCTTCTTGGGAACGAAGACGTATCGGCTGTAAAAGCCGGACTCCCTCTCGAGTGGAGGGATGCACTCTATAGCCTCCTTTCTCAAGAGGGTAGCCACTTCTTGTTCCATCACCAGAGCCTGCTTGGGGCGTAACACAGTAAGTGTGACCCCGTTGAATCGAGGCAGATGAGAACTGAACTGGATTCTGTAGCCTCTTTCCACTGTCTGCAGGACCCAATAAAACACGTATGGCAGGCATCTCCAAGCTGCCAAAAAGTCTACTAATGCCGAGTTCACACTGCACGATTTTAGCCCGATTTTTCACTCGCCGACAGGTTTTGCGAAATTGCCGACAAATGCCCGAAATCGGAGGCAAATCGGTGCTCGTTCCCGCGAGTGACAATCACGCAGTGTGAATTATCAAAGACGCGATCTGAGGGAATCGCCGACGCCCGTGAAATATTTGGCATGCTAAATATCTGGAGCTGTCGGCAATTCACAATCACGCTGTGTGAAATGAGTTCTGACTGAAAAACACATCAGCGATGACCTACAGCCAATGAGAGACCAAGATACAGGGCAGCGGGAAGTTCGGGGAGGAGTTATATGAAATGTAGTTTGCGGACCAGTGTTCCCAAATCCGCGATTGCCGCCAGTGTCAGCAGGTTGTAGCGACCCCAATAACTGATATTTAGGTCCTGGAATGTGAATTGTACCAGGAGAACCCCGCCAAAAAAATGTGTATTTTACCCCCCGAATGTGATTTTTACTGGGGGACCAACTCGAAAGCAATCGGGCTATTTTCAGGCTAGTTTTGAGTAGTAATTGGGTGGGTTTTGTAGCAAAAACTGGCAACCCTGCACCAGACAGAGCTGTCGGCGATTCTTCCTATTGTAAAGTCATGCAGTGTGTAACCTCCTGTCGTCGTTCCATCGTGCAGTGTGAACACAGCAACAACTGAATGCTACCCCAGATAGTCAGGCGTTCAGTGTGAAACCAACAGTGATGCAACGTCTTTGAAAATCGTGCAGTGTGAACTCGGCATAAGGGAACCAGCCTCTCAAGACTGGCCTCTGGTGTTGTCAGAACAACCAACTCGGTGCCCTGAAGTGAATGACTGGCAGAGACAGACCGGTCTGGCTGTTCTAGTATAACCACTGGAGGATGTGAACCTCCCAGGACCGCTACGTTTCCGGTCGGAAACTGAGAGGTGTGCTTGCTGGAGACCGCTGTGCCCTGAAGCACAGGAAGTGGCAGGGTTGACAGACCGGCCCCCTGAGGGCACTGAGGAGAGATGGACACCATATAATGAGAGCGCCGCCCTGACCCCTGATCTCTCTATGGGGGAGCCCCGGGAAGCGATACTCTTTTTCTGCTGTGCCCTGTATGAGGTGCTGGAAGAGGGCTGGGGCTGCTCCCGTCCAGCAGCACCTGAGACCTGGATCCGATGGGGGAGGTACCGCTGGAACGTTGCCACCTGCTTCCTAGCCTCCTGGAACCTCTTGACGACAGAGCTCACTGCGTCGCCGAAGAGGCCCAAAGGGGCAAGTGAGGCGTCCAAATGTCCATCCCTCATGTCGAACAGGTTTAACCAGAGATGTCTCTCCGTGGCCACCAAAGCTGCCATGGAACAACCGATAGCTCTGGCCGTTTCCTTAGTGGCCCGGAGACACAAATCTGCGGCCCTCCGGAGCTCCCTAATGTCATGGGAGCGAACTTTTTCACCTTCGTCCTGGTCTCTGACCAGGTCAGCCTGGTATGCCAACAACACCGCCATGGTGTGCAGGTATGCGCCAGCCTGACCCGCTGCCGTGAAGGCTTTACCCATCAAAGCCGAAGTTGGCTTGGTGGGTAGCGCCAGAGCCTTCAGGGACGATGCTGACTCAGGGAAAAGATAGCTGGCAATTGTCTGTTCAACCCTAGGAATCGCCCCATAACCATGCTGCTTCAGCCCCAGGATGTTGGAATAATTGGAGACATTGGAACCGAATATGTGAGCACAGTATGGCCTCTCCTATGATCTCACAACCTCAGCATGGAGATCAGGGAAGAAAGGAAGGCTCCGGCTTGGGGGAGGTGACTTAGAGTGCAGGAAGCGCTCATCAAGTTTGCTTTGTGGACGGACTTCCTGCTTCTCATCGGACCAGCCGATCTTTAATTTTCCTACAGCCCTAGTCACCACCTCCAACAGCTCCTCATACTGGATGGACTGGGGTGAAGAGTCTCCAGTCTCATCCTGGTCGAGGCTCGCCACATCAACCTCCTCAGAGGAAGAAAGGTGAAGCCTCGTGCCCTCACTCTGGGGGGAAGAAACCACAGTGAGGTCTTCCAAACCCAGAGAGAGGGTGCTGGATCTGGTGGGTGAGGGCGAAGAAAGGGCCATGCCCATCTCCAACACCTCCATCAAATCCATCTGCGATCCCCATGACCTAAGTCTCCATTCTGCCTCGGCAGCCACGGGACCCAAGCTGCGAGGACCGTGAGCCTGTGCGCTCTACTCAAAGAGTGCCAGGCAGGAGCGGAGCCTGCACAATCCACACAGTCAGTTCCCTCGAGAGCTGCACGTGCATGCTCTGTTTCCAGACAGACAATGCAGAGAGCGTGTGTATCCCCACCCGTGATGTAGCGACGGCAGGGAGCAACACACAACCTGAAATGCTGCCTGTCACTCTCTTTGCTGTCTTGCATATTGACTGATTAATTTGTGCACTGACAGACACAAACACTTCACACACACTTTGAAGACGTACAAAAACACAGAGCGCTTGCTGATGAACAGAAGCTAACGCTGTTTACACGGGGTGCGCTTTTAAGCTTCCTAGTCACTACGTCACCCTACCCGTGATGTCTCTCCACTCTATTGGACTGATTTCACATGTGCTCCGTTCCCAAAGCATTTCTGACGCAGCGTGAGTTCCTGAGGGGGAAACATAACTGCACCTTAATGTTTGAAGTAAAATTAAAATGTACACTGTACACATACATAAATACATTATTAAGGTGTATATAAATACATTAATATGGTAGTATATTCTTATTATTATAGTGCAAATGACTTAAAATGGAACAATCAATTTTATGCCAGGGTGTTTCTTGGTCTCTCTCTGTCAACCATCTCTGTTTTTGGCCTTAAAAATATTAAAGACCCTTGGTTTATAATAATAAATAAGCTCTGTTTTTCTGATGATCTTCATTTCCCAGGTCGCTTTGCAGTGCGTGACATGCGTCAAACCGTAGCAGTGGGCGTCATCAAGGGGGTTGAGAAGAAGACCCCAACCTCTGGGAAGGTCACTAAATCTGCCCAAAAGGCCCAGAAGAGCAAATGAATGTTGTGCTGGGCTGCGAACACTTGGGTCAGCCACACCATCCCTCCTCTTCTCAACTCCATAAATAAAGCTTGGTTAATTATCACAATGCATCGCAAAAGCAGAAGAAGGAAAAGTAAAACTGACAATGTCAACAATTGACAATGATTACGATTGTGATAAGTATATTTGTTTAATTTTATGTTCTGCTTGAATTTTAAGTCTCCGTTGTGGTATTTGTTCTATTGTTAAATTGTTATAAACACTTTAAGCAGATCTGCCTCTAGTGGGAATGTAGAGTAAGCTTTGTTTATCCTGTAGCTTGTGTTGAATATCTAAACCCTCTTGCTAACTTTGCTTATGTAACCTTGCTTGTAATAGTAGCTAACTCTTCTAGCTTCTAGTCTAATAGGTATGATTTTATGGAGGTCTGTTATGTTAGTTTGATGTGTTGTGACAGCTTTATAATTGAAGTTCAGTGTCTTTTTCTGTGTGCATGAAGCTACAGTAGCTAGCGCACTTTACTGTCTACCCTGACAGCGCTCTGAACAAGCATGAGCCATCTTGTTTGCACTTGCACTCACGTACTTTAAAGGAACACTCCACTATTTTTTAAAATAGGCTCATTTTCCAACTCCCCTAGAGTTAAACAGTTGAGTTTTACCGTTTTCGAATCCATTCAGCCAATCTCCGGGTCTTTTGGTAGCACGTTTAGCTGTAGCTTAGCATAGATCATTGAATCTGATTAGACCGTTAGCATCTCGCTCAAAAATGACCAAAGAGTTTCTATATTTTTCCTATTTAAAACTTGTCTCTTCTGTAGTTACATCGTGTACTAAGACCGACGGAAAATGAAAAGTTGTGATTTTCTAGGCCGATATGGCTAGGAACTATACTCTCGTTCCGGCGTAATAATCAAGGAACTTTGCTGCTGTACCATGGGTGCAGCAGGCGCAATGATATTACGCAGCGCCTGAAAATAGGCTAACTTCCGTCAACATAACCAACGTGACCACCTGCTTGCACAGGGAGCATGCTGGGGACTATTTTCAGGCACTGTGTAATATAGAAAAAGGAAAAATATAGAAACTCTTTTGTCATTTTTGAGCGAGATGCTAACGGTCTAATCAGATTCAATGATCTATGCTAAGCTACTGCTAAAAGTGCTACCGCCAGACCCGGAGATTGGCTGAATGGATTCGAAAACGGTAAAACTCAACTGTTTAACTCTAGGGGAGTTGGAAAATGAGCCTATTTTCAAAAATAGTGGAGTGTTCCTTTAACAGGGAATATGATTCTCCATTATCTAATGTATGTCGGTTCATAACCAACAATAAAATACATTTGAACTCTGATGATTGCTTCTAAATTACTAGACAAAGAAACAACAAGAAGACAACATCTTTGATGAGTGTAGGCATGATATTTTAGATATTTGAGAGCTCTGACACCAATACACTTTTTTTTACATAAGAAAAGTAAATGACCCTTTTAATACAATATGATAAATTCTTATTCTCATTGTCTTATGGTCAGACACTTTTTTTCCTATTCTTGTCATGTTATGAATATTGGGTTGATGAGCCTTTTTGTAATGAGACTTTAGACATGCAGTGTTCATGCAGACCAATGCCATCTCTAATTTTGATCATTTCAGCAGTTTGATTATTAATCTACCACATTTCATTTTTTTTTAAATGTTACAGTACATTTGTAAAAGAACAATGCATGCAATGATATATCATGTATGGTGGCCTATATGAAATCGTAATCGTTCATCCTTTCAAATAAACCAAACTAATAGAACACGTATAAAAAATTCTCTAAGTTTGTTTTGCCCTCATAAAAATACAAAACAATCCAATTTAAAATAAGCTTTCATATCAAAGTTTCATTCCATCAGAGGTGGTTTCTAAGAGTTTGTAACACATTAGATATTGCATTATTTTAGTCGAACATGTGGAATGTTCATAGTCTCATTGCTGCCCGTATTGGGTGTATGTCCGCTTGCTAGGTTGTGACTAGCACCAGCAGTAATACTTGTCCTAAGCAGCTCGGAGGAGTAGGATGCATCAATGGGGGTCTGGGAGAGAAAATTGAACCCTTGAGTATGTGTCTTATTTGAGATCTCAAGGTCTCTATCGCTGATGAAGAGATCAGCTTCTCCCCAGGCCCCTACTCCCATCTCAATGCCCCCAGCTGAAGAGTCCTGGCTGCTGCTAACACTGGTGGAGAAACTAGCCTGACTAGAATGTGTGTCCACACCAAGACCTTCCAGAGCAGGCTGCATGAGGTCCTGTACAGAGAAGGACTTTCCCAGTCCTCTATCCCCACTGCACTGGCCTTGAATCGGGGCAAGAGGAGAGACTGGAGCAAGAGGGTCCATCTCTGCATCCATGCTTATATGTCTCCTCCAAGAACTGTCCTCTTTAGCACTGGGTCTGGTTTTTTGTTGAAGCTTGCAGCTAATACTAGAGTTAAGCCCAAAGTCTATACCAACTCCTCTGAAGCAGGATTTGGAGTAGTCGGTGGGGTCTGACCTACATGGTCCCATGCTGCGAACGTGGCCTGTTTGTGGAGGAACAGAAGAAAGTTGAAGTTTTGAAGAGGCCGGGGATGGAAGAGGAGGAGGTGGTTGACGGACACATGGAAAGTGGCCTACAGAAGAGTGAAAACTGCTGACGCTGAGGATTTGAGAAGGACTCACTTGTGCTGATGGACACTCCAAGGAAGGGGTTGAAGGAACGTGGAAGGTTGATGGGTTAAAAGGTGAGGCAGAGGCCGGATTGAGCCCAGGAGATGATACTGTGGAGTTGTTCTGGTTGAGGTTGAGTTCTTTGGGGGCTAATATTAGTTGGAGGGCTCTGGGGTGATTACCACAGATGGAATGGCTGACCTGGGAGGAGCAAGAGATATCCTTACTGAGGATGGTACTCTGATAGTCGGAGGTCTCCTCCAACCCAAAAGGAGGGAGAGAGGAGAGAGTGAGGGCAGAAGAAGAACCCTTCTGCAGAACCTGCCGGTAGATGTCCAGCAAAGAGTCCAGCTTAGCTTCAATAGACTGTACCTATAGAGACGGTAAACGGAAAACAGATTGTTTGTCAGAAAACACAGGTTATGTTAAATACAGTGGTTTTTCAATAAAACAGTTAAAGGGGAAAGAAAGATTGTGTGTTTTTAGCATTTTAATTTAGATTAGAGTTTGCTAAGGCCCCCTGGTTAAGAACCACTGGTTTAACTGGTTTAGTATTATGTTTAATATGATAATCGATAAACAGTAAAACATGAGACAACGACATGAGAAAAAAAATAAAAATCAAGGTAAATATAATTTCTGAACAGGATATTATATTGTGTGTAATTTCCATTCAAACATGAAAATATTATATATTTGTGTGTATTTAGGATATGTAAAAGACTAGCTATGAAAATAGCCTTATCAAAGAGTTGGCCATTTCTATTCCAATACTTTTAAACAAATCCATCACAATCAATTTCATCCCATAATGTTATTAAACACAATTCATCTTTAGAAACAGAAATGAGACTTTGTGCATTTTACAAAACTTTAGAAAAAAAGTCTCCTAGGATGCATGTATGTCCATAGTTAATACATATTTAATAACATTCAATGAAATATGAGATTAATTGATTCAGTGTGACATCCAGGACATGTGATTATGTAATGCACTGTTTAACTGAGTGTCTCTATACTCACTTGTCTTTCTACCTTACACACCCTTCCCAGCATGCTCACGTCTTCCAGAATGTCTCCGTCAGATAATAGCTTTTCTCTGACCTTTTTATCCATATGCATCTGGCCCCTACCAAGAATCTGATCCACCCTGAAAGTGAGAGAAAGAGATGTTAGCAAAAAGACACAGGAATGAAATGTGTGCAAAGAAATGAAGATTCTCATCCTGAGCAGACAGAGAATTGAGAGAAACTATGATGACAGAAATAATGATAGAAATTGCTACTATTAGCAAACCGGATTCAAGATTTGAATTTATCTTGTATACTCAAGTCCTTAGTGAGGAATTGAAAATTATATAGAATTATTGTTAATTTGCTGTTCATTTAGACCAGGGCTGTCCAAACTCGGTCCTGGAGGGCCGGTGTCCTGCAGAGTTTAGCTCCAAACCTAATTAAACACACCTGAACCAGCTAATCAAGCTCTTACTAGGCATAGAAACTTCCAGTCAGCTGTGTTGAGGCAAGTTGGAGCTAAACTCTGCAGGACACCGGCCCTCCAAGACCGAGTTTGGACAGCCCTGATTTAGACTATGAAAAACGTCAGGAACTGTGATGTTCTGGTTTGGCCACATGGTGGCACTGGTCTCACTTCATTACAAACCTTGATAATTTGACTCCACTAGGCTTCAGTGAGAAAATAAAATAAAAAAGATACAGACTTATGGTGACAAATGGCTTGAAAAGAGATACTTGGCATACAATTGTCTGCCTTTTTTACCTTTTAAATTAGACTAAATCTCAACTCCCAAGGTTTTATGGAATACCAAAGTGTCCACTTATTACATACTTGAGAATCTCAGCAAATGCATCAATACGTCTTTCGACTATTTTTTGCTAACTGTTAATTTTTTGCTAGGTGATCATGAATACTGAGTAAACGGACATTCTACACATTTGACAATTTTCCCATAATATGCAGCAAGGCAGTACACACATTCAAACACAGTGTTCTGAGTCGAAAATGTATGCAGCCATGATGAATAATGGCACACAATGATGTGCAATAATGATATATAGCTTCTTAAACACTCCGCATCACAATGTCTGGCAGAACCTCAGGGCTTCACCACCACCCAGTGACCCATATATGACCAAGGAGAAGCACTGCCTCAGGGCCCTCAGAATGTCGTGATGACATTAATGCAAACCCAACATACCAGTGTGGATAAGATATAGAGGTCATGAATGTGGTTGCTAATAATCTTTGATTGTCATTGTTGAGTAAATGTTTTAGTTCACATACTGTATTATGCAACGTAGACTGATGTTCAAACTGGTGTTACACAAGATGAATGTTCTTGATGAATCAAATTCTTGATTGCCTGTGCCATTGTTAACCTCTGTTGATTGGGCTACATGTTAAGAAATGCTTGTTGCTGCTC